ATAGACTTTACAAAACTGAACCATCAAGGTAAATAGAATAATTGTTTAGGTTCCCATAGTCTCCTCGAGCAGAGGGAACAAGAGCCTAATGGCTCTATTAAAAGGCAGCACTGCCTTCACAGCATCCTTTCCTCTGACTTGAAAACAGTTCCCTTACTTTTGTGGGGGTTTCAGGCCAGGAGGAATGGGTGCATTCTCAGAGACCCCATTCACATCCCCCCCACAGATTTAAAGTAATACTGGTGGAGAAGGGTAATCCCTGGCAGTGGAATTCCTGTTAAGAATCACAATGGTGTTTTGTAGGAAGACTTGGAGGTATGATGCAGCCACAAGGCTATTGCACATCTGCTGTTTGATTCTGATCCAAATAGTTGCTTACGTTGCAGGAGAGGGTGTTCAAACCATGTCCATTTCTTGAGAAAACATTGCCATAGAAGTGTTCAAATAGAAGATATTTACTGTATTTAGGATCTAAGTCAGAAATAGAAAAAAATTAGTATTTTCATATGCAGGACTTACAGCAATTAGGCAAATTGCTTTGGTGTTAATTTTCTGATATAGTGTTCTAGAGTCAATATGCAGGAAAAATAATAAAACCAATTGCTATCCTGTAGGGTGAAACACAGATTGTCCAGAGACCATTTAATGTCCTAGAGCTGATGAAGGAATGGAATAACAACCTGGACATTGGTGAAGTTTGCAATGCGGAAGAAGAACTGAATAACACAGCTACTGCGTTGCATCAGGATAATATGAGTGAAGAGCAGGAAAGTTTTGTTAGCAACAATGGAAACTCAGAGCTTGGTACAGAAACTGAAATGGAGAGTGGGAACAGCAAACCCTGTACACCAACAAAACAGGTATTTTTTGTTGAACAAAGAAAGCACTATGTATGAGCTAAGTATTACTTTTGGGCAATCAATTGCTAAGGTAAGGAATGGTTAACATGACCTAGTGCTATAGAGGATCGCTGAAACCTAATGAAAGATTTATACATAGGGTACAGAATCTGAAGAAATACAAGGATACATGATGAGCTATGTATTGTACAGTTGCCCTCTGAAGAGAAACAAATACAGATTGACCCAGGGTACCAATCCTTTAAGACTCTCTTGTTCCTGTTCACTACCTTAACCTGGCAAGTGAGCAAAAACTTATCTGAAAAGGAACAGGATATTAAGAAACTGATATTTAGGGCAGGTGAAGAGGAATCTCTGATGGACAGTCCTTTCTTTCTTTCCAAATTCCTTTTGCATTTTTGTCATGTGGTTCAATTTATTTTAGATCCAAGGGAAACAAGGACAGTCTAGGGATACTTAACCACTTTCTTATTTATATCAAGCTTTAAGCAGTTAATACAGTTGTTTAAGTTTTACAGGCCTTAATAACAATGACTTATACAATTTAAACCTTAAATACTATAAATTCTAAAGCAATTAATACAGCTCAAAGCAATGCAAGAGCAATTAATAGGAAGATCTACTATAATACAATAATAAAGCCTAGTTCATTTACACTTCACCCGTATGCTACCTACTGTACCAGGCAGAAGGTCGTGGTTCCTTTTCTTCCCATGCATTGGAACACCATGTACTGGGTCGCCAGTATGAGGGGCCTATTTACTTCTAGTTACATTGAGCAGGACCTGTTGGTCAACCCTGCCCATTCCCACCCATCGATTGTTCTTACTAAGCTCATTTTATAGCAAAGCGAGACTTGGTCATTCTAATAATATTTACCAATTTATTACATATTGTGTAGGATACGTAAACTGCCCAATGCCCCTATTTGGGGTACATCCTACTCAGGATGTTGCTGCTATGTGCCTAGTTGACAGTTGTATGGCTGCATCTGCAATTTTTGCTTATCAGAAACAGAAGTACTAGTACAAGGGCGCTTGTTGTGTGTTCTTGATGTGGTCTCACGTACCAGGCTTAATCAGCATTGTTATTCAAAACATTCCTGCCTCCCAAACCTTGCCTGTGTGCTTATGTGCACCAGACTTGACAGGCTTGGGTTTTGCTTTTTAGAGATCTGCAATCCGTGTTCAAGGCAGACATCCCTATTTATTGTCAAGGCAAGGTAGTCCAGGCTCCCCTACAATTTTGTAAATAGGAGTCTTACATCCCTGGGGAAAAGGCAAACAATATTTAACAAGGCAACAACTATATAAACGGCTAGTGTCATGCTGAAGCCCAAGCTATAATGCTTATAACAGTCATTGCTTTGATTTCTCAGATGACTTGTTGCTTAAAATATTGAATTTTTACAGCATGCAGCTGAATCCCTGACCTGAAAAAACCAAGAGCCATAATGCAAATGCTGGTGGTTCTGTATTAGCTATGACCTCTGTAGCTCTTAGATTTAAATGCAGAAAGTTCCTGTGCAGCAAGCTGGAGTCTTCAATGTTACATAATATGGTGTCTGCTCTTGTGAATATGGCACTGCAGTGGGACTGTGTTATGGCAGAATATTCTATGGACTACAGGGGGTTAGCGTTTGGGGAGCCCAGCCTAATGATACCTACACAAGCTATGCAGAGCTGGACTCCCCAAATGCTAACTTCCTCTAGTCTATACAGTGGAACTGTTCCCAAGACCATTTCCTCTGGGGGCCTTAATGAAGGAAGGAGCTGGATTTTGCCGTAAGGGAAAGGTATACTTAAAACTCATATGGAAGAGTTGAGCTGTGTACAAAGCTTACTGGTGTTAAACGTGCAAGTATAAAAATCCGAATCCTTATAAATGGGTCTAACTTTTGTCAGTTTACTATTGAATCTAGCCATCTGACTATCAAAAGAGCAGTGTTTGAGGGTACCCAGTATGTCTACACTATTATTAAAAAGTGTGTGGCACCAGTTTCAGAGCCCAGACTCCAGACCAGGTCCTTTATTACAGTATAAACATACTGTAGGCCCTTTCCTAGCCTTCTTAGTATGCTTGGTTTATTACTCCCGCTTTTTGATTCTTCTTTCACAGGTCAATAAGAAAAAAAATAACACAAGTACTTTACCAAATGGGACACTTAAAAAGAGGAGTGCCACTTCCAAGCCATCCAGTGCTGTAAGGGTTCTCTCAAACACCTTTTCCAATTATCTTCAGTTTGACTTAATTTTATGTTTTCTGTGCTGACATTTTAAGACACTTTTAGAATAAGAGAAAAAAGTGTTAAACTAGAGACTGGTGAGTTCTTATTCACCTTTTAAAATACTGTTTCACATTAAGATTTACAGTTGCTTTCTGTTATGGAACAAAAGTTCTTGAAGACCCAGCATGTCCAATTGAAATCAGTGGTAGTTTGTGTACCTAGCATCTTGGAAAATCAGGACACTTGTAGGTTGCTAAACAAGCCCCCAGTTTTTGAAATGTTGTGATAAATTCTTATGTTATGTATGTTGAAGTTTCTTTCACTTAAAAGGATTCAGGGTGAGTGAGTGAAGATTGTTGTAGGATGAGATTTTTTTAGAAAAAACATTAAGGGCTGCTCCCTCAGCTGATGTAAATTGGCATCATTCCATTGCAGTCACCGGCTGATTTCTACCAGCTGAAGCTCCAGCCCAAAGAGTGCTGTTACTGTAGTAAATTGCACTTTGAGATGTATTTAGGGGATGGCTGTTGACTGCTTAATCTATCCAAATCTATTCTGTTAAATTGAGAAATCTGGAAATTAGAGAATAAGATATGGTCAACTAAAGAATATTGGTATGCTCATGCATTGGTCAAGTTTTAATCATGATGCAGAACAGAAACAGAATAATCCTAATTACACATTTATAAAGGATAAAGATAAGAGCTTTAAAAGATATTGGGACTTGTTATGATAATTGAATAACAATAATGGTGATGCTTATATTTGATTGTTATAAATCTTGGTATAGAAGAATGGCTACCAAAGACTAATATCAAGTAATTATCATTGGATATAAGTAGTCCTAAACAGGTATTAAGAATGTAGTATTCCAAAGCATGGGATTTTAGATTAGAAGTATGAAAGCTATGTAGATATACTACAGAGGATGTTAAGAATTACATTTTTCATAAAACAGCTTCTCTTGCACTTTATAATATTCTCTACTGTCTTTTAAACTACTTGTTTATAACTTACACTGCTGTAAAATAACACTGGCATTCTACCTCTCAATAATTCTTCTGCTTTTTGTCCAACGTTGTCTAATATTATTTTCATCCCTTATAGTTTAATATATATTTAACTTCTTTTTGTTTTAAATTATAGCCCTTTACAGGTAGGTCAGTATCTCCAGTGTCAAATTCTAGACGAAATCAGGAGAATCAAGAGAAGAAGGGGGAGACAGAAAAATCCTGTGCGTCTCCAAACCAGGGATTGGGAAATAAAAACATACAAAAACCCAATACCACGCTCAGAACCAAAAAGAAGTCATAGGGTTTCCAGCAACTTTGAACAACATAGAACTGAGGCAACTTGTGCCAAAATGAAGATATTGCATAAAAATGGACAAGACCATTCTAAACTGTTAACCTTTTTGTTCACCAAAGCCCTGTATTCAGCAGAGCGTGCTGGCTTTCCTTTAACACTGAAGCAGATTCCAAAGCAGTGTGAACTCCTAACCAGTAAAAGGACATCCACTGATAGTATTGTTATCAGACTGCAGATTATCAAAAGTCTAAATTTGTATGTAATATTTGTTCTATGCTAGCAGGCACCGTGCATGTGAGTAGCTCACTACTATGAATCCACTCGCTATGTTTTACTTAGATTCATTAGTTTTGTCACAAACACTTATGGGGAAAACTGAGAGATCAGATTCTGCAATGGGGGTTCCTAGTGCCCTTTGCACTATAAGATTTTTTTAGGAGATTGCTTATAAACTTGCTTTACACATTATAGCACAAGTACTTGGGTCATGGAAATTTGTTACTGCTATGTTAGGTCACCGTAGATTGCTTATAAAACTTATTTTAAACTTGATAAATGGAAGATGTATTTTTGAAGTATGATGAAATTGCTGTGGTTCTTGCTGATAAACTTCTGGTATGTTGATGAAATACTTAAATAAAAGCAGATGTTAGAATATTCGTCCCTACATAGTAATTTATCTTTGTGTTCAAAAGGACAGTGAAGTGTGCTGTTAAGCTAAGGCTTGTGGTGTATTTGTGTAAAATGCAAATGTATTCTATTGTTCAAAACTCAGTGCCTCTTTCTCTGAAGGTAAGTCTTACCTGTGGACTTTCACATTGCTCCACTGAGGGAGCTAACTACACAGATGCTTTGTCACTTAACTTTTTATTACAAGTTATTCAATCACTTATGCTAAGGACATTCACTGTATATTGGGGGACTATATATTTAGGTTTTTTTCCTGTTGTTTCCACAAAAATCCTTGAGTTTCTTTTGTGCTTGTCAGAACTTAGATGTCACACATTATCACCTGCTTCCATTTGGGTCATGAATAATCCTATAACATTCAAACAGATTGTTCAGGAGTTTGGAAATTTTAAGAAAAATCACATTATGATGAATCAGTTTAAAATCTCTAAATTGTGCAATATCAACACAATGAGAACCACTCAAATATTCCCTGAAGATTGTAAATACATCCTTGCACATTTAAGTACCTTATATGAGGTATTAATCTTCTGATTGATGATTCTATCTTGAGTTCAAGAATGTAGATTCTCCACACTATAGAAAATTTGATGAGTATAGATTTCTATATTCATCTGATTTTAATTGTATCAGAATATCACTTTACCCAGGCAGTTTTTCCAGTATGTTTCCTATATATATATGCACTCTTGGTTGTCTCAGCAAAGCCATGTTCCACATACTGAATCTAACTGTATCTCTGTGTTTATTTGAAGCGGACAAAGCCTCTTACAAAGTCCATCTGGCTTTCTGAGTCATACAACACCAACATGTTAGTTCTTTAGGCCACAGACTGACCTATCTCTTGTTGGCTATTAACTCTCATTGCTCATTCTTATCCTTTAGTGAGACAGTCACTTGAAGGGCATGTCGGAACTCACTCTGTTACAGCTGTGGCTGCATCATTAGCCAACCTCAGGTCAGTCCTACCTGATCACAGTAGTTGCATAGCTGCAAAATGAAGTTCTTTCACTGACTTTATAGAGTGTTGAGGGTGCCTGTGTTCCATGTTCAGAAAAGCTCTTTTATAACAAACGGCATTTTTAGAAGCCCAGCAGACGTGCTGACAATCTGCCACTGCTGCTCCTTTGAACCGTGGGAACATGAACATTTCCTGTCCCACATCAAAGAAGTACATTATTGCATCATTTTTACAATGCTGGCACTGTACAAGTAACATTTACCTTTTAAAGTCAAGAGAATTATTTACTTCCCACTCTCCTGAGAAATTATTTGAATACTTTTTTATTTGAATACTCCTGTTTGGCTAATCAGTGTCTGGGCCCTCTCTTCACAACTTCTGCCTTGTCCTGGCATGCTGTGCTTTGTTGCTGTTGCCATATCTCATCTGTCTGCAGTCTGTCCTCTAGCTTATCTTTTTCATAGTGGTCTCTCTAACTCTTTTCCTCCTGTGTGCACAGTGCTGGTTTTGTTTTATATTGCTTCAGGGGGTAGCCAAGTTAGTCTGTACAGGATAAACTTAAAGAACAACAAATGGTCTGTTAGCACTTTATAGACTAACAAAACATGTAGATGGTATCATGAGCTTTCATGGGCATAGCCCACCCCTTCAGATGACTGGAGTTTTGAGTTTAGTATATGCAGACACAAAATAAATAGGGGAGAAGAGAGAGGGGAAGGAAACAAAAGGAGGGGAGGCAAGAAACAAGAAGCAGAGGGTATGGAAATATCAAAGAGAAAAACAGGAAAGCAGAACTGGCAATCAGTAAGCACCTGAAGAGTGGATGGTTAAAATGAAGCAGGGATCAAAGGGTATCACTAGATAGGAAGGATACTAATGCAAGAATCAACACAGAGCTGTTTGCACCTTCATTGAATGTTAGGTTGATAATATCCCAGCCATCCCTCATCACGATTGAGGCCATTAGCATGAGAATTGAACTGGTGGATGAATTTGTAATTCCAACGCCTCTCTGTGTATTTGGCTAGTAGAATTTGTTTGTGACAAGACAGCCACCTGGAGATCTTTTAAAGAGTGATTAGGTAGATTGAAGTGCTGTCCAACAGGTTTCTGTATGTTCCCTTTACGAAGATCTGATTAGTGTCCATTGATTCTTTCTCATAGGGACTGTCCAGTGTGTCCAATATATATAGCATTGGGGCATTGCTGGCATTTGATGGCATAGATCAAATTACTGGATGTGCCGTTGAATGATCCTCTGATTTGGTAGCTTATATTGTTGGCTCCAGTGATGAATTCACTTGTATAGATATGTGGGCAGAGTTGGCACCATGGCTGATTGCAGGGCTGGATTTCTGGATGCTTATGATGTGGTTGTGTAGCATGGTTACTGGAAAGAATTTGTTTCAGGGTGTGTGTGTGGGGGGGTGTCTGTAAGCGAGAATAGGCTTTTCCCCCAAGGCCTCTGAGAGTAAAGGATCATTTTTCAAAATGGGTTGCAGATTGTGTATAATGCGTTGGAGGGGTTTGAGTTGTGGACTATAGGTAATAACATGTGGAATTCTGTTGTTCTCCCTTTTGGGTCTGTCTTGAAGAAGTTCGTGCCTGGGTACTTTTTGGCTCTGTCAATCTATTGTTTCACTTCTCCAGGTGGGTATTTCAGTTTTAGGAATGCTCTATAGAGATCCTGTACATGTTTGTCTGTCTGCGGGATCAGAGCAAATCCGGTTGTATCTTAGGACTTGGAGGTATACAATAGACTGAGAAATGTGTCTGGGATAGAAACTGGAGGCATGAAGGTAAGTGTAGCGGTTGGTGGGTTTCTGGTATAGGGTGGTAGAAATCTCTCCATTATTTAATTGTACTGTAGTGTCCAGGAAGTGGATTTCCTGTGGGGACTGGTCCAGGCTGAGGTTGATGGTGGGATGGAAGTTGTTGAAATCCTTGTGAAATTCTTCAAGAGTGTCTTTTCTGTGGGTCCATATGATGAAGATGTCATCGATGTAGCATAAGTAAAGTAAGGGTATGTCTACACAGCAAAGTTATTTTGAAATAACAGCCATTATTTTGAAATAACTTCACTAGCCTCTACACAAGCCAACCGCTATTTCAAAATTAAATCAAAATAGCGGAGGGTTTATTTCAAAATTGGTAAACATCATTCCATGAGGAATAACACCGATTTTGAAATTGCTATTTCAAAATAAGTGCTGCATAGACACTTATTTTGAAATAGGGGGCCTCCAGCCCTTCCCAGGGTGCCCTGGTGGCCACTTTGGCCACGACCAGGAAAACTCCTCTCCTCCCCACCCTCCCCGGAGCCCTTAAAGGGTTAGAGTCTGTTTGGCCACAATGCTTGTGCCAGCTTCAGCCCTGCCAGCCCAGAGCCAGCAGTCACTGCCCCTGACCCAGTTGCCTCAACATGAGCTAGGCAGCCAGTGCCAGCCAGCCCCAGGAGCAGTCTGTAATTTCCCAGGAGCCTGCCAGGGGCCAAAAAAGGCAGGCACCTTCCTGGTCAAGTGCGGAGATCCGGGGGGAATCTTTCAATGTCCATGATCTCCGCACCAGATGGAGGAATGTGGCCATCTACAGGCAGATGGCTGCCAGCCTCGCCACCAAAAGCCACATGCGAAGCCAGAAGCAGGTGCACATGAAAATAAAGGAGCTGCGGCAGGCCTATGCCAGGGCCACAGGGGGCAGCTCCCAACTGGGGCAGACTCAGACCCCTGCCCCTATTTTGATGCCCTGGACTGCATCCTGGGGGACCGGATGGTCTGTGCCCCCCCGGTGGTCATCAACCCGGGGTCAGAGGGCCCTGGCCATGAGACGGAGAAGGAGGAGGAGGAGGATGGCCAGGAGCCTGGAGGGATTGTGCCATGCACCCAGGATGCCTGAGCCATCCCAGCGAGCCTGTCGCCGGTGTCATCCGAGGCTGGGGAGGCAATGACATGTGAGTGCCACCACTGTCCCCTTATGCGACATGGAGGAGGGGAGGAAAGGGAGACCACGGATCATGCAGCAACCTGTGCACGTGCCATGCCACCCCATGGCACGTGGCCCCAGCTGCTGCCACACAGAGACCTTGGCCTGTTACCCACATATGTGTATGTGTGAAGGCACATGACGTGCTCCTGACCCTGGGGAGGGACACTGCACGATGCCCTCCCTCCACACACACCCTCTATACAAAGGCAGGAGACTTCTTTCTCCCTCCCCCTTTAAAATTCCTGCTTTGCTTGAATTGCAGCAGGGACTTGAATGCAGGTGTCCCTAATGCCCATTGAATGTCCTTGGTCCCAGACTATAGAGTACCCTCAGTCTTGCTTGCTGAAGTTGTTCTACTTTGTATATGTGATTAAGTCTTTATTAGAGCAGGGACTTGAACCTGACTACTCTGCTAACAAAGGCAGCATCCTTATCCCTGGGGTAGAGGGTCAGCCCAGAGAAGATTTGATCCAATGAACTTTTAATTCAAACTTGGATCTCCTGAATCCAAGTTAAATGCTCTAAACATGGGCAATTCCACAGACATACAAAGCCCATCCAGTCCCAATCACTATGGGTATGTCTACACAGCAAAGTGTGTCCCGAGGGATAACTGACCACTTCTCTTGTTTTTCCACAGCCACACCAGCTGCGAGTGCAGGGCGCACCACCCCACCCAGGACATCCTCCCACATCTGAGCACTCTGCAGGCTGATCCGTGCACAAGAGGACTACCAGCAGCAGCACCTGGGGGCACTGCAAGCCCTGCACCGCACCCTGAATCACTGGGTGCAAGAAGACCTGCAGCTCCGGTGGGAGAGCTAGTGGGAGCAGCTTGCTGTGCCATCTATGATCACCTGCAGACCCTGGCGCAGAGATTGCTGCCTCCTGCCACTCCAGCCCATGCTGCCTCCCCAGCTACTGCTCCTCCTCCCACTCCTGCTCCCCCTCCTGCTTTTTCCTCTCCCTCCCCTCCCTCTACCCGCCCCACACTCCATGCCTCCACCCCCCATCCCCCA